ACAGTCTCTCTCGTTTTCGCCGCCATCTTGAAAATATTGAAACGAGAGAGACTGTGGACGAGTATTTTGGTTCCCAAAGCACGCTGGGTCCAAGTTTTCGGGACCCATAAGTCCTTTCGGTCATTGTACCGTTACAGTCTCTAAGCGTGGAGACGGAACGGACGAGCCAGAGACTGTGGAAGAGTCTAGATGACCATGATGCTCCAAGACTCCGCTACTTCCGGGAAAAGTAAAGAGAAATCTAAAAACTTCCCCAAAACAGTTGGTCAAAATGTTCAAATAAGAAGAGTTTTGTTTGAGAATAACCTGATCTGGAATCATCATTCATTGCATGACATAATATAACTGGAATCTGCAGAAACTCAAGCTGAGGATATGGCTTCAATCAAGTCCTGGTTTAAAAGAACGTTTTTCAAGAAACGAGGTATTGTACAGTACGACGCTTGGAACTTAAGGATGTTCATGGGCAAAGCAAAAGATCACAGATCCCATCGTCAGATTTTTTTAAAATTTTGCATAATGAAAGAACATCATACTATTCTAGGAGTAAAATAAGCAAATAAAAATGGGGGTCCCCGACTTCGTTTAGCCGTCAAAATGCGTGGACGTTCACCCTTTTTACTGTAAAATCGCGCGAACAACGTAAATAGTTGTCAAAAATAAGTCATTTCACCGAAATAATAAATTGATCGGTCTCATTTTTCACAAAGTCATTTGAAATTTGTGTTAAAAACTAGAAATATGAAATGTCATTGCTGACTTGAAGCCTTCGCGTTAGGTGAAATTCTATTCCAATTATACACAATATAATGTAATTTCGATTTGATCCCATCGTCAGATTTAAAAAAAATTTCGTCTAAAGTTAGGTATTACCTAGTACTTTCAAAAAAAGATATAAAAAAGGGGGGGTGCCCGACTTCGTTTTAGAGCTATAAGACATGAAACGGCATTGCGAAATCGAGGAAACCGAGGAAACCGAGGAAACCGAGGAAACCAAGGAAACCAAAAATACATAATATTCTTATTAATATAAATGTAATATAAATATGAAACTGTACCTAGTGGGTAATTGTCAAGACATTGATTACACAGACTTTTACATCCCATGCAGTAAGCTTAATCTTTACCGAGTGTAGTGTTGGTGGATTTACCCACCCCACCCCTGTTAGGTTTGCAAGCGTGCGAGTGCGCATGTGTGTAATAAAGAGACGAGCATCAAAGCACATGGTTTAGTGTAGTTGATTATTATTTAGAAAATACACCACACCGAGTATTAAACAGTTAGGGAGTGCCGTGACTTAAATATAAATATAGTTCAAATATAACCCCATAGGCTTGCAATAAGGAATTGTATGAAAATTTCTTTTGTAGCTGTTGATCACCTTCACGGAAAGGTAAGAAATTTAATGAAAGTCTCGTAAAGAAACAAAACTGTTTTGCGACACAATATTGAATAACACGAGAACGCCCGATGTTTATATTTAAGCCACGGCCTTGCCTAACTGTTTAATGCTCGGTAAAGAATAAGCTTACTGCATGAAAGTCTGTATAATCAATGTCTTGACAATTACCCACTAGGTACAGTTTCATATTTATATTATRTTTATATTAATAAGTATTTTTGGTTTCCTCGGTTTCCTCGATTTCGCAATGCCAAGATGAAAGCTGTTTTTATGAGATTTTGCTTATCAACCAGGTGATCTCACCGATTACTATTAACAAATCAGACTGCGAATTGAGTTTCAAGTTCAAAATCAATCCCATGCATCTTTTGCACGCTGTCATTTGCAAAAAATCCAAAATGGCTAATTAATAAGCACAACGAAAACCAATCCAAAACACACATTTGCAAGCAAAATCAAATTTATTAGCAAAAAAATATAAAATACATGCATTAGAATTTTGTTCAAGCCTGTCCACAGCAACTGTTTGACACCCAATGTAGGAATATTCCACAAAATATGTGCCTTCTTCCAATGTGTTTTGCACAAAACCACACAAACAACTTACGATAACTCTGCTAAATTTGGCCAATTCTTCTGAGTTTTTCAATTCTCTAAGTTTCCTTTCGAAACATTATTGGATAGCCAAGTGTTAGTATAAAGCAAAACGATTCCTATCGAAATTTTTTTAAAGGAAATAAAGTACTCACACCGTAGCGAAAAACAAAATGACGGACACCATGCAGGCTTCGTTAAGTGAAAGTGCGCCGGCGGGGGTATATGGGATTGATTATTAACTTGCAGAGAAAATCATGCATTGCGTGCGTTCCGAGATCACCTGGAAAACATTGGAGTGACGTTGACGTCATGATCACGACGACGTACCCAGAGCCTTTATTTCTTACTGTGCATGCTCGATGGAATAATTTGGCTGCGGCTATTTTGAAATAAAGGTTCTGGGTACGAGATTGATTCATGCGTAGAAAGGATGCGCGCAAACAATGCCCATGAGCGTCCTTAAGTTACACAAAAATTATATCATCTGTTCAGTATTTTTTGAAAGCTATCCCTGTGTGGTCACTGACGTTTTTGAAGGCTACGAGATGTTCTCTGGGTTGCCCAATATGCTGGTGTGATGGAGCCTATTTAACACCTAATCTTACTAATTGGAACATTTTAGGTGTATTTTTGTTTCCGAACTTCCAAACACTTATTTTTTCTCACATCAAATTTATTCAAAAATTTACACCTTTTAGATGTGTTTTATTTTAATAACTTTTGTGTATCTTTTAACCAGTGGAGTGGAATGACACTCCATTAATAAAACTATATACAGATGCGGTTTTTTAACCTGAGAAAACAGTGTTGTGTTACTATGCAGACGTCACTAAGTTTTAATAGGCTACATCTAAAATTACACTGATGGACAACAACTAAAATTTATTTAAAGAGCTGACAAAATAATTGTATTTATTTCAAGATGCATGGCCAAATATGTGACATAAACTCATTCTCAGAAATATGTTGAAATGGTTATTTGTTTTTCCGCTAACCATTCTGAAGTTCTCAATCTCTCCATTATTATTGATTATATTCTTCAAATATAGTCTTTTTAAATATCCAAACCACTGAAGTGGAACTGTGAAACTCAGTTACATGTAGTAAAAGGATTCAAAACTTAGCGAAAAGTATTTATACGGCCAAAGTTACCAGCTCTGTTACAGCGTAAAATTTAAAGGGACTCTGAGGTGCCAGACACATCATAGCTTTAAATGTACATCAAACCTTGTTGATTTTGAAAATCGAAATGAAATTTCCATGAAATGTGTTTTTTGGGGTGATATCATCCGTCAAAGTTGCGAAATGACTTAACACGGATTTGATGGCTTGGGATGCCTGGGCTGTGATGACGTCAGATAGTGGAACATGTTGAATAGCTGGAGTTGAATCAGCCAAATTTCGCTATGGAAGTATGGCTGTTCCTTATCAATTTGAGCCGGAAATTGCTCGAGGAGAAGAACATAATGCGCCCGATGAAAATGTGAGCGAGGAAAGTGAGCTAGAAGAAGTGGCGAACGAGGCCGTATTTTCCTTTAGGCTCTACCAACCTACGCAATTGAAGCCAGAATACTGCCAACTGAGTAGCTGTATTATAGGAATAAATATCTGAATTACAATCCTAGAAAGTCTTATTCTTTTACTGCTCAATTATATTACTTCTAAAGCCAGGAGTTACAGCCTCAGCTGCTAAGCCAGCATATGAGCCATTTATCTACTATGAGCACATCATTCACCAAATCCATATATGGGTACTCTTGCACAAGAATTGCACAATTCTCGAGAAGGAGCTACTACAAAAAAAAACGAAGGCATTTTACAACCGGGCTGCCACCTACAGGCAAACCAGTAAAAAGACATAGTTAAATTTGTTTTTAGAATATTCTAATGCATCTTAGGTTAGATCCAATTCAAGATATGTGTTAGTGCAAAGAAGTTAATTTCAAAGGCTTTACTGAGTAGATTATTGTTTTATTAGTGCTTTAAGATTCAATCATTTTTGTATTTTCAATTGCAAATAAATCATTTTCAATTGATTTTCAGAAGGAGATCACAGGCAAAGTAATTCAGAAAAAACAGAAAATAATGCAGACAAACAAGAAGAATCTAGACCAGGATGTAGTACTGTACAAGAAGTAAGACCTATAGGAGAATGCAAAGATTATGCGAATATGGGTCCAAACACTACTGGGGGCCATGCATATCACGGTGGTGTAAACATGGATAATGAACCCACATTGGAGAGACCAGACCATAAAGAAGACTGTGAGAGTGAGAGTATTGGAAATGCGAGTTTGAGAAGTTCATTAAATTCAGCAGAAAACACAAACAGAGAATCCATGTCTGAGGCTGAGAGCTTTGAAAAATGTGCCCATGAAAATGAGAGTTTGGATGAGTCATTAGAGTCAATGGCAACAGAAGCAAAACCATCTTCTGATCAAGATAACAATGTGACATCTGATCATGAGGCAAGCAATAATTTGATCAAACAAGAAGGTAATGAGTTAGTAACACAGTTGCAGCAGCCTGTTGAAATATCAAATCGCTTTGTCAATAAAGATGAGACCGATATGCAGCAACTTCAGTGGAAAAAGGCTGCTGTCTCTGAAGAGTACTACAAAGTACTACATGTGCATGCTCAAGAACAAGCACAGTCAAAAGTTGAGCCTTTAGGTATGTCTTAATAAAAATTCTTATTCAAGTTTTATTAAATAATTAAAATATATCAAAACCTGAAGCAAGCATGTGGCTGGTCAAATTAAGTCAATATATGGCTTAATAATCACATATCAGTTAACCCTGAAACAACCTCTGGGCTTGTCAAAGTCATTGCATGAGTGTAATACTCAGATCAAATCCTGAAACAACCTCTGGGCTATCAATTTAGTCTGAGGGCATGGATAACACACTGATCGAATTGAAAACCCAGAGAGAAAACCTGGTCATGATCAGAAATGAATTGGAGAGACCAAACAATCTCTACTCCATGTGACCCCAGTGATGATAGACAAGTGAGTTGGTCACCAGTGAACTTAGGACACCAGTACATATACTAGAACAAGTACAATTATTGAGTAAGCCCTAGTTATATATTTTGAATATTTATTTATATATTAGAACTCCTTGTACCTTTCAAAACAAATGATTGACAAGGACCAAAAATACGTACTCGATGAGTATATGTGTCTACTGCTGATAGATCACAGCGACATTTTTGAATCATGTTTATGTAAAATATCCACTTGTAGGCATTCAGGGCTTAATATTCTGCTTGTGGAGCTGATCAGTTACCCCCTAAAGGCTCAAATATGTCACTTTAAAAATCTGAGTCAATTATTAGTTTCGCATCACATCGGTTTTGTAAAGATCATTCATGAAGCGACATTGTTAACATATGCTTCGTGTAGCTTACCTGAAAGCACTTTAATTCTATAAACAACACTTGACACATTCGATGAAACCTGTGTGCCTAGCTTGTTCCAAAAAAAAAACAAGTAAAATTCACTACAAAAATGGCTGCGATTAACTTGTAGAAATCACTGAATCCTACCAAATCATGTTTGAAATGTTGGTCAAACGTTTACCAGTCGATAAAAAGTCGTAAGCAACCAAGTTGACCAGCCAGTACACGGGACTTCAGATAACATCGGCTATATCTTCACCATGCGCCGCTAGCTGTGCACGTGGGATCCAAAAGTAATCAGAAGTTTTACAACCCTTACACCGGGATGAACTTTATGTCAGTTATATCGTATGTCATTTAACTATATTTTTCGCTAGTTAAATAGGATATGAAGTATATCTGGGTAAACTCGATGGCAAAGTGTCTACTGCTTATTCATATGCAGTAGACACAAAAACTGATTACATCTCTCTGAGATGCTCTATATACATGCATACATCACATTAAACAAGCTGCTAATATAATATACTTAGAGCTTAACTCAATAGTTGACGGTTGTATTGTCGTGTACGGGAATTGTCAGGGGAATTCTATTCAAATTCAAATTTCAAGTAATCGGCTAGTAGTCGTACCCTACGATAGCATGAATTGAACTATAAGAAATATTTATGTGCACGCGCTGATGATACATCGTTTAAATATGACTAAAAAATGAGACCACCCAACCGAATTCACTTCGTGCTCTAGGGGTTAGGTTTAGGGTTAGGGTTATGGTTGGCACTGTAGTAGTTCTTTGGTGCCAAAGGTACCAAGTTCGATTCTTGGTGTCTTCACTTAATTTTTTTTCTAAGTGAGGAGAACCAAAATTTCCATTCGTGTATTCGGAAACCTATGACGTACTTCGTTAATCCGTACACGGCGATAGTACCTAGTTGACCCTAGTACATGGTGTCCTATCCGATACTACTATTATTATATACCACTATGTACAAACACATCACCCTTTCTTGATTCCCCAATAATAATCATTTGGAGTAAATTTTATAGCTCCCAGCAGCCTATCTCATTCCACACTAGGGAAATCTTGCTTTACCCTTTTGGGATTCCTGTGTTATGTTGACCATAGCAATTAGCTAAGAGTATTGAAGAAGTTGGGGCCTAGTCTCTATTAATATATAGGGACCCCAAGGATGGATTAAAATGGGGAATTTATAGAAAGCCTTTGAATCAATAGAGACCCAACAAAATTGTACTCATGCACTTACATGTGATGCCATGCAAGTCCAGGAATCAAACCTGAGACCCCAGAAGAGAAAGGCAAGTGCATGCAGGGAGAGAACTCTCATCTCTCACCATTGTGACCTGAGTTTGATTTCCAGACTCAGTTTCATATGTGAATTGAGTTTTTTGTTAATCTCTCCCTTAATTATTGGTTCAAGGGTTTTTCTTTGGATTCTCTGGTAATAACCTGATCCCTACACAAAAATCAATTTCTACATTCCAATTGGATCTGAGGAGATATTCGCAATAGGGTAATAAAACTCTTATATATATTTCTTTTAACATTATAATGCAAATAATACATAAATTGGTTATATGTTTGTATTACCCCAGGGTTCGTACGGGTTATGGAAATCCTGGATAAGTAATGGAATTTTGTATGTTCGTTTTCCAGGCCTTGGAAAGTCATGGAATTATGTTCAGGGTCATGGAAAGTCATTGAAAACATTATTGTGAACAGTAAAAATGTTATGATTTATTCAGAGATGTTGCAATTGTTTTTAGTTATTATTTAGTTTTTGATAAATATTGGTGACATGGAAAATAATGTAAAAGTCATGGAAAAGGTTATGGAAAGTCATGAAATTTAGAGACTTCAAAAGAGTACGAGTAGAGTACTATTATAGTTTTTAATTTTTAATACTATAACCTCTTTATTTATTTTGATTGACTGTAATTAGTTTCAGGTGTTTTGTTGAACGAGAAATTGAAAAGTATAATTTCTCTGAAGCTTGACGGAAGAAGTTCTGTCCTAGCAAACTGGGAAAACCTTGCTTGTGAGCTCGATGCACCTCCTAATATCAAAGCACAGTGTAGAAGAACAACCATGGAAAGCCCAACAGAACTGCTGTTTGAATCTTTTAACAGCTGGAGACACACAGAAAACCTTACTGTTAATGAAGTAATAGCATTTCTTAATGAAATGAAAAGAAAAGATGCTGTTGAAGTCATAGAGAAAGCTATTCCAGGTAAAATTACCTCAAGATAATTCAAATACACTGGGTGTATTAAATATCATATTATAATGATGATAAGTAATTAATATTTCAAAGCCGACAATAAGGACTGGAAGGGATTTCAAGTTCGAGCAATTAGTTCCAGTTGGAGGCGCAGCTGTTAATAATTCGGGAGGTTATTTGTTTAGGATTGAAAGGCTTGAGGGACAGATATGTTCCTGAACTGAATTAATTTTGATCCAGTCCATTAGGACTAGAACAAAATTAATTCAATCCTAAATCACAAGACTTTACCAGGTTTCAAGTAACATCATTTGACCCAAAAAATAGCCCATTGATGGGCTGGTTTATTGCTCATGAATTATTAATGAGTATGAGAAGAAGTGTTAAGAGTAGGTCTCTGTAAGACTATAAGCAAAGTGGGAAATGTATGGAAGCTTTTGGAGAACAACCAAAAAACATTTTGACCATTTTAGCTTGTTGCTAAAACAGTTGATGCATCTGTTACTTGAAGGCAGGAATATTTCATGTACAAAATAATAATCTAACAATAATTGGTATTTTTCTAAACTAGAAAAGATACTTTATAATTGATGAAAGTTTTGAGGAAATTAAGTTTAACGTGTATAAGAAACATAGCATTGAATTTTACCTTAGAATGGGTTTAATTTATTCCAAAAATTGTAAAATAAGGTCTCATAAAACACTTGCCATTTCCACGCATGGCAAGAGTAGTACATTTGGTGACCAAATTTTTGTGCATTCCATATAAATATGGCCTACTCGCACACCAAATTTCAAGGGTGGCCAAAAAATTTCTTTTCTCACTTTGCTTGAGTCTTACAGAGACCTACTCTAACTTAATGTTCAATTTTCGTTCACTGTCCAAAATTCTAGCATATATATTTCCTAATAAAAAAATCCTTTTCCAATAAAATCCAAAGTCAACATCGATCAATCCAGAACAATAACATCTGATATATGTTGCATGCACTTAAGAAATGCTCCAGCAAATTAAATTTGATTGTCTTCTATATGAAATGTTCATTATTCGTGTGAGCACCAAACCGTGTCTGAATATGCAAAGTGACTCTTTAAAAGCAAAACTCTTCACCTAATCTATAGGGACTTTGTACTTGAACATATTCTTGTTATCTGTTGAATATTTAATATTTTATTTTTAACTGATGATCGATGGTCATCATGAAGACACCAAAAACGTCTTATTACATTCTACCAGTAATAATCATAATCAAATTGATAAATTATACATACTCAAAATTAACTTCATGAGATCATGAAGGGGGTTATTATGAGGKGTAGACACTGAGGGTGGTCGCTAGCTGCCAGGGTTTCTATACATCCTTATGGAGAGATTGGGACAGTGCCATTTAAAGTACCAAGGCATTTGAAAGTCTAACCTGCACTTTCTCCTCAATCAATTTAAGACCCTGAGAAAGTTGGTCCAGTCGAGAATTGAACCCACAACCTAGCTTCCAAACGAAAGTCCGATTCAACTGAGCCAACCGGTTGGGTTGACTTGGATATATAACAGCTTGCCCTTGTTGCAGAATATTGTTTCTCATCCATATTCATCATAAACAATATTTATGCTTTCTCAACAGCACATCAGAGAGATTGCCAAGTGAGTGATA